GTTCCACGATGATCAGTGGGGACTCCGTAAGTCGATTAACTTGTTTATATATTAGTTATTTTGTCTAAAAAAATACTCAAGTTGACAAAGTAGATTCTAAGGTCCCTTTCAACTTTAATATTTCTTTATTCCATGTAGAAAAAAATATAGCTTGAGACAAGAAAGTTGGTAATACAAAATAACCAACAAATGGAACATGCTAGCCAATCAATTTTCAACAAGACAAATATACTATAGATGGAAAGCAATTCTTAGGGAAGAAAAATAAGCAGTATAGTCATAAAACAAGCAAGTTTGCCCTATTTCTTTATAATTGATGTTTCTTCTAATTCATCTGGGATTTCTTGAGTTAAACTAAATACAGCTAAGGCTTGAATCATCCAGGATTTCACATCCAAGACCTGTCAGTTTGATGATCCCACTATTTTTAACATAGAAATAAACGGCTTCTATGCTTGTAAGCACTAGAAAAGTAAGGACAGTCTATGAAATGTGCTTCCCTCTCTCCTTCCTTTTCCCCTCCCCATTTCCTTCCTCTTCCCTGTCATCCCCCACAGGCTGAGGAAGGCAACAATCCCTTTGATTATATGTTCAGCTCTTGCACATATTTCTGCACAAATCAGGCATCTTTCCAAAGTATATGTCAGAGTTCTCAGCACACTTATCAAGAAAGTAAGTCCTAATTAGATGTCAGTTTCCTGAAGCAGAGAGGGTGTGGTTACATGAATTTACCAAAGGGGGAAAACTCTAAAGAATAAATTACTTACCTAATCACCCACACCACAGCCTAAAAATTATCATTCTACAAACACCCACCAATATTGTTTTTTTTTCTAAGAAGAACAATGCATAGTGTTTTTCAATGACATGAAAGAAAGTGAAGCACCCTTTTAAAATGCAATTTGAATATCTAAGACACTTTAAAGCCTGAATTGCCTAACTAGGAATTGTAAATGCATACAATGCATCATAAAACAACTTAGCTAACAATGATTTCATACACACACATCACAATTACTGCTGAATATCTATTAAAATAGGCAAACAACAACAACAAAACAACAAATGAAATAATTTGTACATACAAATGACCCTTTTACTCAGAAGGTCTAAACCATATTCATGTTCCTCCCTTTCTCCAGTTTCCCTGAAATGACCTCAGTAAGAAAAGTTAATTGGTCACTAATGACTGCCTTGAGAGCTTTACCACACAGCTTTTCTTCAATCTAGGTGAGTCAGGAAGAAGATCAAGAACAGCAGTTATGGAGGAGCCCTACACCTAATTCCATACCATTACACGTGTGTATAAGATACTAGCACTGTACATGAGAGTGACTCACATACCTCTGTTCATAAGAGACAAATTCTTCCTTCTCAAGTAATTCAGCTGCATGGACAGCAAGAGGTCAGGATTGTTATGTATAAGAACAGTGTTAAGAGATTGCTTGTATAGTATACATTATCTGTCTTACAGCTTGAATATTATCCAGTGTGGTTAAATACACATGACAATAGAATCAGACCTTTTATTTTTCTATGACAGATGAATTAACATATGACCTGCCAGAGCCTATAAAAAGACATTACCATAACACAGTATTTTGTGAAAAACAAAAACACCAAACATAATAAAATGGAATGTTAGGGTCCTTTTCTAGCTGTTGACTACATTCAAGTTTATGACAGTTTTGTAATCAAAGCAAGTTTTTCTCAAGGAAAAATACCAAATGAATCATCTATGTGAGAATTTCAAAAAGTAAATGATGCTTCTTGGTGGATATGATTAAATAAAAAATGCAGTCTCAAATTTACAAACATCTTCATAATTTCAAAGGTTTATCAAAATTCTCCAACACTACTTAATATTAAGTGATAGATTATGACCCTAAAGTAACAGGAATTCTTCCTACTGAGCATTCCTGCCAGAAAGACAATTCCCTCAGGATATTTAGGTGATTTCCTTTTGCCTTAAATACCAATGAAAATTCTCTAGTCAATACCTTTACCTGAATTGTTTTGGAAATCTAGGAAAGTTCAAAATGTATATAATATAGCTCTATAACTGGGAAAATCTTTAGAGACAAAGCCACCTTGTATTACATTTTAAAAGCCCAGAAATGTTTGGTGACTTACCCAAAGCATGCATCTGTCTGGTTTATTTCAACTCTAACTCTAGAATTATGAAGGACAGATGAGTGATGAAAGCAGTTTTTAAAAAAATCAAACATGACCATCTCATGTACATTGACATACATCAAGTCAATATAAAGTCAGAGGAGATTTAAAATCATTTTATCATCATTGTCACTGCTAAAACTGAGTTTTGATGGAATTTCAGAAAAGTCATCCATTATTAAAATAACTTCTCTTTCATAGCATCTGACCCTATGGACATTTTAATTCAGACTCTGGCATTTAATGAGATTATAACTGATGCTGTATTTAAGATGAAGGAAAGGGTGGTGAAACTCTATATCAGAACCCACAATAGAATAGACATTAATTAGGATAAAATTAAATATCAGAACTGGAAAATGTACTACAGGGAGGGCAAACTTGGAGAATTTTCTGAGAGGTTCTTTATAGCTCAATATTTCATTGTTACACATATAAAGTTCTTGTGGCAATCTGCTCCAAAGGAAAAACTGACAAGACAGAGAGTTAAGTTTCTTTCAAGAAACACTCTAAGGAGAAAAATAAGAATGACACTTCTGGTTCATCGATAGCACCATTAACTAAGATGTGAACATCATCAGTAAATTCCACCACGATGTGAACACCATCAGTAAATTCCACCACGTTTTCAGCCTTAATGTAAACAGTTTTTCTAAGCCATCTAGAGAAACACATAGAGTATAAACTTTTAAATTATGACAAAAACTAATTAAAACAGATATGTTGTAGATGTAATTGAATTCAACCATATTACCCATTTGAGAGGACTGGTTTTAAGGTCAGTCTCACTCTTTAATGCTTTTCTACAGCATTAAGATGTAAGTGAATGTCTCCCCTACCCAATTCAGAGAAGCCCTGAAACCGAAGCCAAAAGATGCACTGAGAAGTCATTGTGTTATATGACTTATCTTCTTTAAAACCCCTGGCTATTTGACATTTGATGAAATGCCAAATCCCAAGTGCCTGAGTCCACTCTGACACATTCTGTTTATTATGTAGTAGTTTCAAGTTGGGGACTCAATTTTCAACTAACTCCACAATTTATATATTACATAATGGGTGTCTTTTGATAAATCACAGGAAAAACATGTCAGTTTTGTAGCTAAAGGAAATGACTTTTGCTATTTAACATCTTATCCTTAGCATGGCCTTGACAAATGAGATAAAACGAGATCCTCTTTGAGTTATTTCATTTAATGTATAAAGACTACTTACTATCTTCATTATATCATTGTCCTAACTCTAGTTTGGGAATATTTCTTAGATACCTCCATAAATAGTTCTTCTTGTCAGGACATTTAATAAACTTACAGAGTAATTCTATTGTTTTTAAATTCTTACCAAAGCTAGCAGTATGCAGACATTTGAGAAATATTGTTCAGTTCTATTTCTACAAACATATATCACAGTACAAACCTGAGACGGTATGAATTTGACTCAGTATATATTGACTGCAAAAAATTTGTACAATGACTACCAGTCTAATTAAAAGTTCATAAGCTGCTTTTTTTTCAGTTTCCAAGTTTTCAGAATTACACATGCAATCTGACAATATTTTTTGATGTGACATAAATTTTAGTTAAATTCTAGGATATATTATGGAAACAAAATTTAGGAAACAGAGTGTCACTCTGTTAGAACACATTATTCATGTACACACATTTAAAAGAGAAACATCTCTAAAACTCAGAGGTTACTCAGGTAAAAGCAATACAGCCACATTACTCAAGCAAATATCAAATAATTACAATTTTACATTCTTGTATTATTGCCACCACATGAATTTTCAACCCTCAGCCTTCATCAATCACAACAGAACTGCTAGCATTTAGAAGGAATTCTCATGGCTTTCAATACCACAGAAATTGAGATTTAAATTATTTATTAGTTAATGCTCAGAGGTTGTAAGTGGGATGCATTCATGATCAGACATCAAAAGACCAGAACTAATTAGGATTGAAATACAAGTTTATAAAGATCCTTATTCAAGAAGACAAATAAACAATTTTTACCTTTTTAAAAAAGTAGATCATATGTAACTGTCATCTTCCCCCATTTGGGGCACATCATAAACTCAGTGATCTCTGTGCATAGCTGCTTTCTCTCTGCACCCTTAGGCATTTCGGGGCCTTTTAAATCTAGTGGGACAAGTCTAAACCTTACCAGAAACTTAAAGCACTGACAGATAAAAGAAAAACGCTAGTTCTCTTCTATTTATAAGCTAATTTACAAATGTCTCAATATAGACATATTACAGATACCACAGGTATCACTGCTTCTAGCTGACAGCAAATAAGAATTAACCTTATTTAATAACAAAATTGTAAACATGCATCAGAGAAAGGTACTTGAACTTCCTTGTACAAACAACATCTCAGATTAATCACAGGTAACTATCTAGAAGTCTGTATCAGGAGCATTAAGCATTAACATCAACTTGAACATGAACAATTATTTCTTCCAAATGAGCTAGCCTTCCCTATTCTGAAAGAAAAAGGAAAGCAACAACTACAACAGAGCATATTCTGGCCACCTACTATGTTGGCTTGCAACTTTTTTGAATGGCTTATTAAAATAACATAATTAATTCCACCTAAAATATTAACAATGTGTACAGACCTTGGCTGGTGATACTGTCTAGATGCTATTATCTAATGGCTGTTCTTGCAACAAATCTAGCAAAACATAGCACTTCAGTACTTACAGACTGCTCACAGAGAACACCATCTGAGAAACCTTTTGCATTTAAGATTAAGGCTCCACACAAGGTTTATTGTTAGCCCCAGCATGCGAGAAGGAACCGGAGGATGGAGAGAAGCGCTTACTTCGAAAATGCTCTGAAGCGTAATAATAGACATCCTCATAGCCCTCGTGGTAATCCTCTTCTGGTCGGTACTTTTTCCCCTTTCTTCTCCTAGATCTTCTTATCGCCTTGACAAAACCCAGGAAGCGGTCCATCTCTCACTTACCGTGCAGCACGGCACAGCTAGCACAAGAGCACAGCAACAGCCCAGCTGCTCTGCGAGTCGGTGGAGCATGAATGACCAATACCAAACCTGGACCAGGACAGCTACCCTTCTATCTGCTTCTGGGCTACCATCAACACGGTGACTTTGGCCATAGGAGGGGAAAGAAAATAATAGTGATATGGCTTTACCTTGACAATATTTCTCATTTAGCTCAATAAAAAAAAAAATCTGTAATTTAAAAAAAAAAAAAAAAAGAGGAAAAGAGAAAGAAAGTGAAATGGTAATAAAAGACTAAGAGAAAAAACAAACGGCAAAGCTTTTGACTTTAAATAGCTTCAAAACAAAACAAAACAAAGTTCAAGAGATTCAGCTGAGGCAAGAGGAGTCCCAGCACTAGAATTTCACTATCCAATATCTCCACCATCCCATCATCGGGGCGGGGGTATAGGAGAAGAGAGGGGCGGGGAAACATATTAGTCAATGGACTGAACCAAAGTTAGAGACTGAACTGACTTTCCTACCTGCTAATCCCACACCCTAATCCTAGCCCACATTATCTCAAAACATGTGCTTGGGAAATCTCTTGAAAAGCTATTGTTTTGCAATGGGCGGACTGATTAACCCTTTGTGCTCTATTGCATATCATATTAATAAGCAGCAAAGTGGTTTCATCCATATGCACAGCCCTCTTGCTGACAGGAGTGTGCAGTATGTGTTAATTGGAGCAGCAGGGAGAAGGCTCAGCAGCTGCTTTCAAATGACACGTTTACCCACTGGGCATTAATGTATTCCAATCACTGTTTGATCTAAATATTAAAATGCACTTCACAGAGAAGTTTCTCATAGGCTTAGTAACAGCCTACCATAATCAGCAAATAAAGCAAACTGCCTGGTTTAAGGGAAAAGAAATACAAATAATCCAACTCAACTTACACTTGAATTCAAATATAAACCTAGCTCAATTGTCACATTTTTAAAAAAATATGAAAGTAAATGGGCTAAACAGCAAACAAAACTTAATTCTTGGTGAAGACAGTGGAAAGAGAGAAATTTCATAATATGCTCACATGCTGTTCATCCTTTATCTCTAAAAATCACAAGCTTTAAAAAATTATTTTTAAGTACAACAATCAGCAACACTTCATACTAGACAAGAAAGGTACTCTAAAGTCTAGAGAAGTCAGTGTTAATCATGAACAATTTTTTTTTCCTCTATAGCTTCTTTTTTCTTCAGGTCTTTAAGTGAAAGATAATTTTTAACACCAGGAAAAATCTGATTTGTTTACAATATAATTAATCAAGCATGTCAGTATATTACCAATGAAACTAATGATATTCTGCAGCTCCATGTTTCCAGAAATATAATTTTTAAAAAGGCTTCTTACTGAATAAAGGTTGTTCAATATCTGCGTAATGTCAAGTTTGTAGGATCATCCCAGAGGGAACTAACTGACTGCACTTTGCACTCTCTGTTAGATTCACAAGCAATTTGTCTGTCTTCTAGATTTACACAGTTCCCTATTTTCAGATATAAATTGATAATGATGGAGCAGGGAGAAATTTACTTAGAAAGGCAAATATTCATCAGCCAAGAACATTTCATGTCTAAAATGTGTAGTTACTTTCAATGGTTCTGTGAAGTTCCTTTACTCCCAGAAGTTTCCCATTTTGTATGCCTTAGGAGTGAGTCTGTGAAAAGAAATACTAATTTAATGATGCTGACAAAAAGATGCTATAAAATGTTTTATGAACATCTTTAAATAAAAAAATCACTTGTCCTTGGGTTTCAAATCCTTTATTATTCTGATTCCCTCAATCGAAACAAACTAGAACAATTAACAAATAGTGAATGAGAAATTTGAAGATCTGGAGTTTAGACCTGAATAGTCACTAAATATATGACAATAATAATACACAATCTTTTAATTTAACCTAACAGCCCTAATAATGAGGTGAATGTCATTATACCTGTATGCATGAGCAAAAAAAGGTTCAAAGGCATTTTAGTGGTTTGTCCAAGATCACGAAGCTAACACTATCATGGCAAGTAATAGCAGGTATTTTTCACACCAGTTCAGAGATTATTTTGTCTATCTAACAATTACATGCATTCAAGTTCATTCTTTTCTATGTAAATTTTATCTTGAAGTGGAATTTGAATATAATTGTCAACTTTCATTATTAATGGATCAAACATATATCTTGGTTTATGTGATTAATTCAAGTATATGTGTCTCCCAGAGATAATGCAGGCAATGAATTTTACGCTACACTTGAATTTTAACTCTTAAATGAGTAGAGTCCATATTAAGTTTTGTAGTTTTAAGCTCCCAGTTCAATCTAAAAGGACTAACTTACAGAAAAGATGATGCTTTACTCTTTAATAGAAAGAAGATCTCATTTGCATAGAACAACTTAAAACATTTCACTAGAGTTTGATTTTTTAATTTTGGTATTTAGGGACTGATTTTATCAAGCAGTGGTAAGCAACTATTTTTGCACAAGAACTAATGCAGACAAAGTAAAATTATCTATATACCAAACTCTGTATTCAGAAATAAACAGAAATTGTACATAACCACCTTTCTATTATTTGTTTACATCTGAAGGATTACATTTGTTAACATTTCAGTATCTGTAATGACAGAATTTTTATATGAGGTGTGATTTGGTGGTGTTGGGGAGGAGTTTAAGAGTTTAGCCATATATTTGAAGGCATACAGCAGAAGGTATAAAAGCTTACTAAAATAATCAGAGATGCTTGGGAAGCCAGGATAAGGAAGCTGTTATTTAGGGGAGGTCCACTTGGGTCACAAAGAAGGAAAGGATGTTGCAATAGATGATGTAAAGGAGGGAAAGCATGAGTATATGGGCCACAATCTAAAAGATGGAAGGCTAGACACTTGGTGCTCTGCCTGAGGGGTGGCAGAGGTAAACGAGATCATTTTATTCAATTTTCCTGGCTCATCCTTCTTGATATGGTTTGTATCTGTGTCGCCACCAAATCTCATGTCAAACTGTAACCCCTGGCATTGGAGGTGGGGTCTGGTGAGAGGTAACTGGATCATGGGGGTGGATTTTCCATGAATGGTTTAGTACTATCCCCTTGGTATTATACTCTCAGCAGTGAGTGAGTTCTCACGAGATGTGGCCCGTTAAAAATGTGTAGCACCTGTCCAGGCACAGTGGCTCACGCCTGTAATCTCAGCACTTTGGGAGGCTGAGGTGGGTGGATCATGAGGTCAGGAGATTGAGACCATCCTGGCTAACACGGTGAAACCCTGTCTCTACTAAAAATACAAAAAATTAGCCGGGTGTGGTGGCGGGCGGCTATAGTCCCAGCTACTTGGGAGGCTGAGGCAGAAGAATGGTGTGAAACAGGGAGGCAGAGCTTGCAGTGAGCTGAGATTGTGTCACTGCACTCCAGCCCCTGGGCGACAGAGCAAGACTCCGTCTCAAAAAAAATACAAATACAAATAAAAATAAAAAAAGGTGTGGCGCCTTCTCCCTCTCTCTCTTGCTCCTGCTCTGGTCAAGTGAGATGCTCACTCTGCCTTTGCCTTCCACCATGACTGGAAGCTTCCCGAGGCCTCCCCAGAAACAGATGCTGCTATGCTTCCTTTATAGCCTGTAGAACTCTGAGCCAATTAAACCTATTTTTTTTATACATTACCCAGTCTCAGTTATTTCTTTATAGCAATGTGAGAATGGACTAATACACTTCTGAATTTTTTCCTATCTTCTACACTAAAATGATCCATGTTTAGCAATAAAGGGCCAACCTAAAATCTCTGTCAGTTCTTGGTTGTATTATAATAGCCAACTGTTGTTTAACAATTGCTTAACAGTTAGCTATTATAATACAACCAAGGGCTGACAAAATAGTAGTGTAGTTCAAGTCCATTCAATTAGGTGTACCACTCTTTGTACAGAGAGAATGGCCCTTTCACTCCATAGCACAACCTCCAGTAAGAGGTACTATTTATCAGTTATTGAGCTCTACAGTCTAAACTGATGGGTCAGTTGAGACGTTGCAAATGGCAGTTCACAGAATGCCACAAACATGTTTGGTTTGGCTCACATGAATGTTTGTAGTTTTGTTCTTGGTTTTTTGTTTTTTTGGAGACGGAGTCTAGCTCTGTCGCCCAGGGTGGAGTGCAGTAGCGTGATCTCGGCTCACTGCAACCTCTGCCTCCCAGGTTCCAGCAAGTCTCCTGCCTCAGCCTCCCGAGCAGCTAGGATTACAGGCGCCTGCCACCACACCCGGCTTTTTTTTTGTTTTTAAATAGAGATGGGTTTTCACTGTGTTGGCCAGGCTGATCTCAAACTCCTGACTTTGTGATCTGCCCACCTCAGCCTCCAAAAGTGCTGGGATTATAAGCACGAGCCACTGTGCCTGGCCTTTTTTTTTTTTTTTAATTGGACAAACATCTAAAAGTCTTTTTTTTTCATAAATAAATCAAACTTTTTTTTTTTTTCTTGAAATAGCAAAAGATCTGGTAACCTTGAGCCTGATTCCAATATGGCAACTATTGATTAGAGCTGAGTGGTGGCTGCCTGCCACCCATAAATAAACATGTGCTTTCCATTTAGCTACAGTCCCTCCCCTGGGCAAAATTCAATCATTCAGTTACCACCTGGCCCCTGTAGGCATAAATGCTTGTGAACAATGGTTGAAGTACTATCCTGACTAGCCAGTCTCAAAACACTAATTACTTTAAAAGAAATTCCAGCACCCCTATATTTTGATGTAAAGAAAGCAGGCTATTATAACAAATTGGTTATCAGTTGAGCTAAATGTTCACTAAACCATAATATTAAATTTATTAGAAAAATTTGTTCACATGAGACAATAAAGCAGGTTGAATTATTCAACAAAATGCATTTCAACCAGCAATGGCAAATATATGTTAACAAATACATATTTTTCAAGTGCTAATTATTTTCATTTTGGGGAAGTAGGCAATTGCCTATATAGCATTTACATGATTTCCGTACTCTTCTGAATTAGATTCTTCATCCCCTTTTAGGAAAAAAGAAATGGACCAACTATTGAGATTAAATCTTCAATTTACAAACTTCCCTAGATCAGTGATTAGAGAGTTCCCTTCAATGCATAATTAGATTGAGTAATGGTTACAGTATTATTTTTTAGTAACAGTATGAAACATATAGTCTATAAGAGAAATCTTTAAGACATTAAATTAATCTGG